TCTTTAGAGCCTAGTCTCCACTGGTGTTGGACCAGAAGACGCCAAAAGGCGTACAACTCAAAAACAGCACACTATCAGAGTATTGAGGGCTCGGGGTGAGCATTTACATATGGGACCTCCTAAGTAGTTCTGTGCTATCCGCTTCCCGTTCTCTAACACGGAGGACTGCACTGCTCTGCAATATTTCTGAAAATGTTTCTAGTGGCATGACACTTGATTGCTCAATGAGCGTAGTGAAGTATGGTCAAACAACCCCCATGACAGACACGGCATGGGGAGTCCTTCATCTAAAAGTGGATTCACAGAGGGATGTAAATTGTTATTTTAACCCTAACCAGTAACCATGGACTGAACCGTATATTTCGTGTGTGTAGTTCCGAAACAGCTCGGTTACAGCATCTCTCAACTGACACAACTCTTGTGAACTTAACCTACAGAACATTACTGTTAATTTCAAGTGTATATTGTGCAACTAACTCTCAAGACCAGGATGAGTCTCATTTGCAAGAGTTTACCTGGGTCACCAAATTGACAAAAGCAAGACCAAACCGTAAAGCAATGGAGCAGAGAGCAATTAGAACAAAAACACGACCGCACGAGGAATTGAAAAAAATGCACGAACATACATCAATGTTAAATCAAAGCTAAGTATTAAATTCCCTGCGGCGCACGTTGGCTCGGGCAAATGGCCTGCACTATGAACGCAGCACAGGTTATACAGATAAGCTACATTAACATGAAACATTAATCAGATATAGCTTGACTATAGTGCTTCGATGTCAGTAACCCAGGAATTTAGAATGCGCCTCCTGTATTCACTCTCGACGCCGTGGCTACCTACCCCCTCCTCTGCTCCAGTATGAAAAGTGACTAAAAATATCCCCCCCCCCGCCCTCTCTTTCCCTGGCTCCCACGACGCACCCCGACTCCCCCGTCGACGCAACGGCCTGAAAATGTGGACACATTCCACCGCTCAATGAACCTAAATGGCGTTGCAATGCAGCATATAAGACTGGTACGCATCCGACAGGACGTGGACCTATGTGAGATCGGCGCGATTAAATTAGCTCGTATGTCGGTGCTGGTTTGTTGAATGCATCGACGCAGGATCGTGAGAGACAGCGGGAGGTTTATCCTATGTTTGAACTTCTTTCGCACCGTGCGTAGTCAGCCGTGCTAAATCGGGAGGTGCGGGGAAAGGACTAAGTAAACACAAAAACAAGTTTAGTTTGCTCAGGTTTTGGGAAAGGCCTTCATTCAGCGGTGGATTCACCACGGCTTATGACGACGACGACATATCAGGGGTTGGCCAAACTTCCTGAACACTTTGAGCACCAAATCTTCACATGGACGAGAGCCACGAGACAACACGCAACCACGTGGGGCGATCATGCGCCCCCACGTGGTTGCTGCGTACTTGAGAATTTTAGAAACCTGCGGGAGCGCCCCCTGGAGTGCGCGCGCCTGGCTCCGCTTCCTTGGGCCGAATGTCCCGGGTTGCTCTCGCAGATTTTTGTTGTTGTACCGCTTCTATATTTAAGTTTCTGTTGTATCTAAAAGTTACACCGTATCTGCGTCTCCGTTGAGACTCGCTTGAACCGGCCAACCAACGGGGCCCCAAAGTAACTCGGTTGTCTTGGTGCTACAGGAGAGCCCCGGGAGTAAAACGATTTGGTTGGGGACACTGCGCGACCCGTCCAGTGTGCTTCGACCACTGACCCCTCTCCTCCACGCCACATTCCACGGCATCTCACGTTTAGCAGCGGCCGTACAGTGCGGGCTGCACTCCCAGCCAACGGAGGCGCCCTCTGGCGCTGATCCCACAGATAAGAAGGATGGGCCTTGAGGTCCCCTTGGCGGGGTATAAGGGACGGGGGAGGCGCGGATGGACCCTCGTGGCCGCCCTCCTTCACCACCTCCGTTCTCATCACCCCGGGACACGTGTGTGTGTGTACGCGGGCGTCTGCATTCTCTCGGCAGGGCCAGATTTTTTTGGAGGGGGGTGGAACGGCAAACGAGACATTTGTAAAGTGCCCAAACTCCAAAGGCTCACGGAAAAAAATACGTAGCATTTTTTTACGAGTACAAGGGTTGGGTGAGTGGATGAGTGAATAGCCGGCTGGGTGGGCGAGTGGGTGAGCGAATGGCCGGCTTGGTGTTTTAGCGAGGATTGGGTGGGTGAGGGAGTAAATGAGTGAGGTCGTGTTGTTGTGTAAGGGGGTCGAGGGTCTTTTCTTACTCCTTACGTCGCTACTTCAAGTAGGGCAAGTGTGGTGAGGGTGTTTTAATGAAACCAGCCTGTTAATGCCACCCATGTGGCCGGCGAGTTGTGTGTATGCGTGAGATTACGTGGTTGTGGTGCAGTAGTTAGCGCCTAGATATATGTACAATACCCGCAAACTCGACTTCGACTCCAGGCCATGGCTATCTTCTTACAGTGAAAGACATAGTTAAACTATCTGCCTATTTTAACAAGGTGCTTGTACAATCATGGTGCCCGGCAGCGATACGAGGGTGCGTGTGAGCCAAGGCGGGGAGGGCACGCTCGTGGATACGTGAGTCATGCACTACTGTGTGGTGTGGTGTGTGTAAGACTCGAGAGCCCCGTGATAGCCACCGTCCCCTCCTCGTTCCATAACGACCGCGCGAGAGGCGGCCGCCCTGCCCGGTAACCGGGGACAAACACCAATGGCCGCGCCGCCACCACCCCCCACCACGTGTCCCGCGCGTGTTGCTGGGCACCCATCTCTCTCCTTTGCTCTCTCTCTCACCCCGCTTCTTCATTCTCTCTCCCTTGCCAATCTCCCCTCCTCTCTCTCTACTCCACTCAATGATCTCATCTCGCGTCTTCCATCATTTTCCACCGCCTCTCCCCGTTCCCCCCTTCCCATACAGTACTGCATCTTGTTTCCGTTCTGTAGCGCCTCTTCGTTACACTCTTTCCTCCGTCTCTTGCTCTCCGCCCCCCTCCCCGTCTCCATTCTCCCCGATTTCCTCTGTCCATTGTTACAGTCTCACTCTCCTCGCTTCCCTCCATACTCCCCTCTCGTCGTCGACAGCGTCCCCTCTCTCCCCTCCCTTCTTCCTCGTCTCCCACTCAACTCCTTCCTCGTCTCCCACTCAACTTCACCCCCCTCTCGGTCCGACTCTATCAAAGACCCTCCCACCCTCCTCCTCCTCCTCGCCCGCACTGTACGTACAGTGCGCGCGGCGTAAACTGTACGTACAGTGCGCGCGTCTACGCGACTGTTAAAAGGGCGCCACGAACAAAAGAAGGCGGCGGCGGCGAGGAGTGGGAGCGGTACACAGAGCAGAACAACACAAAGCACGTCCACGACACACAAGCCCGCGCGACACAGAGCGACACAACATCGCACGCTTGGCGACAAAGGTTGAGGAACCGACATCAGCCTCGCCTCAACCGCCACGGGGGGGGCGGGGCTGTGGTGGGTGAGGGGCGGGGTTGTGGGGGGTGTGGGGCGGGGTTGTGGGGGGCGAGGGGCGGGGTTGTGGTGGAGAGGTGGGGCTGTGGAGGAGCGGGGCGGGGCTGGAGGGGTGAGGTAGGCTCGATGCTTTGGGTACGAGGGGCGGGGCTGTAGGGGGAGGGGCGGGGTGTGTGGGAGGATCTGGAGTCGTGAGGGGCGGGGTGTACTGTAACTGTATGGTAGTGAATGGGGGAGGGGGGGGGCAGTTTGTGGGCTGTGAGGGGCGGGGCGCTTGGCGGAGTGAACGGGGTGGGGGAGGGATTTAATTACCGAGGGGCGGGGCTCACGGGTGTGTAAATGTTTCATTAAGTTTATTTCATCAGCGAATTCAACAACACAGCCGATGTTTCGAGCAATGGCCTTTCTTCACAGCTTCGTGACATGAACATACGTCGCCTAGTGTTTTCTTCTGAGGCCACAACATGTTATTGACGAATGTGTTGAGTTGTTTTGTTGCTAATTATGCTTGTGCAGCGCTGTTAATGCAGCAGCATCACCAAATAACAATTTGTTACATCGGGCATCATTACATAACTGAAGTATTTCATTTCAGTGAAAACATTGAGTAAATAACCTTTGATACAACAGTTGGTCCCGTTTCTCTGATGATAAAATGAAAACAGTAAATGCGCAGCCCTGCAATGTCTCACTCACGCCACTGCTGGCGGAAGGTTCTCCACTTGAGGACGCTCTAAGGGAGCCTTGCTGGAAGGTATTTGATCTACTATTCGACGCTGGCCAAAGGTCTTGGCAGAGGAAGTTGCCATTGCGTGAAATGTCTCCTACTATATAGGTTTTACCTTTAAGGCCACACAGTGTTATTGACGAATGTGTTACTTTAATCCTGACTCAAAGCTTTCGTGACTGCAGGAATTCAAATGAACACATTCAAAGTCACGTGGATGACTTTACCGAAAGACCCAAGAATACGAATGCGTTACTTTTTTATGGAAGAGGTAGATATTTGGTTTGGGAGGGACACACCGATAGAAGCAGGGATGATGGACGAGGCTGTTGACGGAATGGCAGCGAAAGGCGAGAGGACGACTACTGATGGGGATGCAGTGCTGAGACATTCCGCTCATTTGCAGGCGCAAGATGACTCGTGGCGTGGCGACCACGTTGCGTGGGGGGAAGCAGTGGATAGAGCATGTCGGTTGACGCGATGTGCCGGGGCCCGTTTTGTGAGCGTGCGAATGAATGGGGTTGGGGGTGGTGGTGGTGTGTGGTGGTGTGTGGGCTTGAAGAGGCGGGGGGGGTCTATAGCTGTCTTTGCCAGTGAACTGGGGGAGGGAGGGAGGGTGGCAGTGGGTTGTGAGGGGCGGGGCCGTGTGAAGCTCGCGCCAGGGGGTCGGGGTGGGGGGCACTCTGTGGTTGTGTGGGGGAGGAAGCGGGGCAACGAGCGGGGGCAGGGTTCGTGGTGGAAATGCGGGGGGTGGGGGCTGGGATAGAAGAGGGGAGGGGCTGGGCTAGGGGGGGGCTGGGCTAGGGGGGGCTGGGCTAAGGGGCGGGGTTTCCCGGGGTCGCGCGCAGGGGCTCGCGCCTCGCCTCGCCACAATGGCCGCCGGGCGCAGCGCTTCGCTCCGTTGAGGAGGACGAGAAGAAGAGCTCCCGCCGCCCGTCTCTTCGTTCCCGCGCCGCTCTCCATCTCAAAACTCTCCGTCGTCGTCGCCGTCTTCGCCTCGTTTTACCCGTGGTTATTTTATTGTTTTTTTTTTGCTGCGCGCGCTGCGACCCGACGACGCGTAATCTCCCTTCACGGCTGAGGCGCGGCGCTCGGGGGGTGGGGAGGGAGAGGGTCGCAGTCGCCGCCATCATCGGCCGCTGTCGTTTTTGTCGCCGCCGCCGCCGCCTGCTGCTGCTGTTGCCGCCGTAGCTGTTTTTGGTGGCCGCTGGCGTCTTCTCCGCGCGGGGCGGGAGGGGGAGTTTGAGCTCATCGTGAGGCGAGGAGCCCGCGCCAAGCCGCCATATTAATCGACTCCGCGGCCACTGCCGTTATCGACACACCACCTCTTCGTCTTCTTCATCGTCGTCGTCGTCTCTCCGCTGCCACCACCCGGCTCGGGAGGAAGAGAGGGGAGGAGAGTGGAAGCGCAGCGACCGGGTCTTCCCTCACCGACCGACCGCTCGCCCCCTGCCGAGCCGCTGTGTCCGCGTCCTCTTCGCAGAGAAGCGAGAGGCAGGCGGCTTTCTCCACCGCGGGAAGACGAGGTTGGGGTGGAGGGTAGGTGACGAGGTGTGATTGGATTGCGAAACTTTGCCTCGGACGAGGTGGCCCGGGAATTATTATTTGGTGCAGTGACGTCACAGACGTAAACAGTGGGGGGAGAAAGAAGTAGGTCGTCGTCGGCAGCGCACGGATACAGCAGCCACAGCAGCCACAGCCGCCGCCGCGGAGGCTGTGGGAGTGACGCGGCGGCCCGGCATGGCCGCCCCGCGCTAGAGAGTCGAGCGAGGCGGAGCGGCGGCCCCTGTTGACTCCTTCAGCGGCTCCTGCCTGCACGCCCGCCCGCCCGGCACGCCAGCCTGCCCAGCACGCACGCACGCACGCGGACCCTCCCACGACTGCTCCCCACCCCCCCTCCACTAACCCTCCACCCCTCTTTACCCCGCCGCACCCTCGCCCTCGGCACCCCCCAACCCCACACCACCACCACCACCCCCCCACACACGCCACAGATGCGCGGCTCCGGGAGCTTTCCGTGCGCCGGGCCCCGCGCCTGAATGCGCGGCGGTGGCGGCCGCGGCGCCCCCAGCCTCACTCTGTCCTCGCCGCGCGCGATGGGTCTGGATTTCGACGTGAAAACATTCTGCACGAATCTTCGCGCCACCAAGCCCCCCTACGAGTGCCCCGTGGAGAGCTGCGGCAAGATCTACAAGAGCTACAGCGGCATCGAGTACCACCTGTACCACTACGACCACGAGAACCCGGGACAGCCCACGCCCATGAAGAAGCCGCGCAAGAAGGGCCGCTACAGCCGCTCCACGGTGGGCGGCCGCCGCTCCCCGTCGCCCGAGTTCAGCCGCTCGCCCAACCGCGAGACGCTGACCTACGCGCAGGCGCAGCGCCTCGTCGAGGTGGACATCGACGGGCGCCTGCACCGCATCAACATCTTCGACCCGCTCGAGATCATCTCCGAGGACGACCTAACGGCGCAGGAGCTGTCCGAGTGCAACAGCAACAAGGAGAACACCGAGCAGCACCAGCAGCAGCAGCAGGCGCCGCCACCCACCCCGGCCAAGCCGAGCCGCCACAAGGACAAGCAGCGCAAGGACGGAGCCGGCGCCCAGCATGGGCACGGCGGCGCCGCCGGCGGTGGAGGAGGCGGCGGCGGTCCCACGGGTGGAGGCGGTGGCGGCGGCCCGTCGTGCAAGCTGCCCGAGGCGTCGTTCCGCCTGCTGGACCACGAGACGCCGGACGCGCCGCCGCGCACGCCCGCCTACTACCGCTACATCGAGAAGTCCGTGGACGAGCTGGACGAGGAGGTGGAGTACGACATGGACGAGGAGGACTACGCGTGGCTGGACATGATGAACGATAAGCGCAAGGCGGGCGGCGCGAGCGCCGTGTCGCAGGAGGCGTTCGAGCTGCTCATGGACCGCTTCGAGAAGGAGTCGTACTTCGAGAGCCGCAACAAGGGCGGCCCGCACGCCCTCATCGACGAGGACGCCGTCTGCTGCATCTGCAACGACGGCGAGTGCCAGAACAGCAACGTGATCCTCTTCTGCGACATGTGCAACCTGGCGGTGCACCAGGAGTGCTACGGGGTACCCTACATCCCCGAGGGCCAGTGGCTCTGCCGCCGCTGCCTGCAGTCGCCCTCGCGGGCCGTGGACTGCGCGCTGTGCCCCAACAAGGGCGGCGCCTTCAAGCAGACGGACGACGGTCGCTGGGCGCACGTGGTGTGCGCCCTGTGGATCCCCGAGGTGTGCTTCGCCAACACCGTCTTCCTGGAGCCCATCGACAGCATCGACAACATCCCGCCGGCCCGCTGGAAGCTCACATGCTACATCTGCAAGCAGCGCGGCTCGGGCGCCTGCATCCAGTGCCACAAGGCCAACTGCTACACGGCCTTCCACGTGACGTGCGCCCAGCAGGCGGGACTCTACATGAAGATGGAGCCCGTGCGCGAGACGGGCAACGCCGCCTCGTCGTCCGCCTCGTCGTCGGCGGCGGCAGCGGCGGGGGCCGCGGGGGGCTCGAGCTCGTCGGCTGCCGCGGCGGCCGCGGCGGCGGCGGCAGCGGCGGCCGCCTCCGGCGTGGCGGGTTCGTCGTCGTCGTCGGCGGCCGCGTCGTTCAGCGTGCGCAAGACCGCCTACTGCGACGTGCACACGCCGCCGGGCTCGGTGCGCCGCCCGCTGCTGCTGTCGAGCGAGCCCGAGGAGGAGGAGGAGGAGGAAGAGGAGGAGGAGGAGAAGAAGGGCGCCTCGGCGGCGAGCAGCGAGAAGGCCAAGAAGGCGAAAGCCAAGTCGCGGCAGAAGATGAAGAAGGCGCGCAAGATCCTGGCCGAGAAGCGCGCCGCCGTGCCCGTGGTGTCGGTGCCCTGCATCCCCCCGCAGAGGTGCGTGGCCATCACCCCCCTCCCCGGGGGTTGTGGGGTGCCTGTCGCCGGTGGTGGGTGGGAGCGATCCGCGGGATAGCTGCGGGGTCGGGGTGGTGGAACGAGGGAGTGAATTTAGCCGAGCGACGGAGGTCGCGTGTTGTGGGGGGTGGGCCCATTCACCCGCAGTGCTTGTTGTGTCGTAGTGTAGTGGTCTAAACGAGGTCGGTCCGTGAACACAACACGTGTGACTTTTTTCAAATGTTTTTAAAGCGGGTAACTCGGAGGTGCTTTAAGGTGCACCCGGTCTTGACAGACAACAGCGCCCTGAAGTCGCCGCCACGTTTAATAATGCCGCATTTCGGGTGTTTAGTAAAGTCTCAAGTCGCTATTGCTGCTACTGGTTTAGTGAGTTCTGTGGGCGTGCTCCGCTCGAATTCATTGTCGGTGTGATATTGGCTGCAAAGTGGCTAATTTCGTGAGAGAGGGAAAGTTACCGGGCAAGTGTCGTGTGTCAAGTGCTGCTGCTACGACACGCAACTGTTGTCGCTGTAAACTGATCCCGCGGGCGAACGAGAGAGGCAGCTGCTATCGGGGCGCCTCACCACTCCCCCACCACGCCAGGTGTTGGGTGGCCCCGAGCAAGGAGGCCCCCCGCAGCTGTTGTGGCGGCGGCGGCAGCAGCAGCTCTGTATGCCTCCTTGGGTTTTGTGGGGAGCTGCCTGCCTGGCGGTGGCCATTGTCTGTTGTTTAGCGGAGGGGCGGCTTGTCGGCGAGCGAGCGCGAACGAGTTTCGTGTGTGTCGACACAACGCCTTGGCCTCGGCACGGAAGTAGCGTGGCAAGAAGTCCCGGGGCGCGCAGATGGATTGACCCCAAAAGGCGTGCGTGTGTGTGTGCTCACATGGCGTCTTGCTAGCCACTCACCCCCCCCCCCCCTTGTGTGCCTTGTGGGCCTGAATAGGTGGTCGCAGAAAGCACTTGGCCCAACAGTCTGTTAAAAAAAGCTATGCGGAAAATTTTTATGCACATGGCACGCGTTGTGTGTTGGTGGCGCCTTCTGGCCGTGGGCCCAGAGGCGATCTCGGAGTCGTGTCCTCTCGCACTACTGGAAGCATTACCCTCCAAGCTGCGGCATAAATCATCCGTGGAAGAGACGTAAGGACAACATTGAGGTTTTTCGTTAAGCATTTTGGAACATCCGGGAGTGTTCGACAGGAAAGCCAGCTGTGTTGAGCTGTTAGGAAGAATCTGATGCGAGACAGAAACGTGAGCTTGTGGCTTTGGTGGCTTTAGTTGGGTGCAACCCAGAGAATTACAGTTTTGCAAACGGTAGTAGTAGCGTTTTAGGGTAACACCTTTGGTTGTGGGCATTATTGCATCCATGGCTTAAATTCAGCCAGGTCTGTCTGGGTTAGTAACCCAGAAAAAGTTCCCACACACAGCACACCACATCCAGTATTCATCCTGCCATGACTGGCTGCTAGTCACTTTGCGTTCCACTTTCTTGCGGTGACTCAAAACATTCAGTGAGAAATTAAGCCATCAGTCAATCAATGATTGAAGATTTGTTGTTTTAGACAGTTGCAATGTTGACGAGTTATAGGGAACGGGTGTGCTTGCATTTTGTATACTTAGCTCGATGTCGTAATTATCAGTGTTGTTGCATTCCTCGTTGGCTGCTGCTGCTATTTCCACAGAAGGATTAGGCAGGCTTGGGGAGGGAAGAGTTATTGCCACAGAACATGTTTGGGAAATATAGTGGAGTGAGCATTTTTGCACCATATATTCCGATATGAGGCCGTATCCAACCCTAACGTGCAACCAAAATATATTATATCCACAGTAGGAAACGTTAACAGCATTATTTGGAGAGACTCGGTGAACAGTATTGGCTGTTGAAGCTGTTTTTCACGTCAGGTTCTCGTTGAGAAAGCATTCAATTGTTCCCCCCAGTGGACAGCAAACATCACAGGTGTAAAGGTGGCTGTTTACACAGGCAGCACTGCAAACAAACTAACTCTGGACTCGCCCTTTGAGATTTTGTACAGTGGTGTCGAGGTTGTTAATGGGTTGTCGTTATCCATGTTCAAGATAGCCGTACCTGTAATATTAGTTTTTTATGACTTTATTTTCTGACGTAACTAATTCAGCCTTGTCAAACCAGGTAAATATTGGAAAAAATGGACATGTTCAAATGAACCATGTTGTTTTGCTTTGACAGCCAGAGTGGTCACTGCTGTATTTATGTATGTGTTAATGATTGAAGGTGGCCGTGGTGTAATGGTTAGCACTGTTGGTCACCAGTTCAATCCCCTAGCTTGACAGTTGAAACATTGGGAAAGTTTATGACATCTGTCACCCAGCAGTAGAAATGGGGATACGCATTGTGTGTGGTGTGGTGAAGTGTGAGTACTGTACCTTCACCTACAGACGTATGGACAACGTCAAAACAGTAAGGTCATAAGACCCTCTAGATGGGTTCTCTCGAGCTCCCTCTGGTGGAGACCTGCCAGCAGTGGTGTGTTCCGGAAATTGTAGGGCTTCACCTTTACCTTCTGTTCATGTACTGAATGCCTCCTATTGACACGCAGTTAGACTGTGTGCGTGCTCGTATGAGGTTGTTTTGCATGGTCGTGTGCTTGTGTGTGTGCTTGACCATAAACCGGATTTGGTGGCAGCCCAGACACACGGTCGTGCCAAATACCCTAACCCTCTGTCATGTGACCGCAGGCTGAAGAAGATAGTGAGCCGGGTAACGATGCAGAGGAAGAAAGAGTTCATGACGAGGTTGCAGAGCTACTGGACCCTGAAGAGGCAGTCGAGGAACGGCGTGCCCCTGCTGAGGAGGCTGCAGTCGCACTTGCAGTCCCAGCGGAGCGCCGAGCAGGTGAGCGCTCGCGCCGTGTTTGCCCGCAGCGCGCGCTCCTCTGGGAACGTCTTGTTTGTGTCGGCCGCACGAGCTGTGCAATTTTGATTACAGGTCCCGAACGTTTATAATTGTGGTTGCGTGGGCTGTTGCCGTTGTGTTCTGCAGCTCTCGGATGTGATTCTCGGGTTGTACCACATGTTCGGGCGTGATGTCCGACAATTTGCTGCACGTGCCAGAAGCTTCTTTGCAGAGCTGCTTCTAAATACACATTGAAGTCACCGTGCATGAAATTATTCTCTCTACCCAGCCTAGCGAATAGTTACGTTATTATGCCTTGGCGTCAGAGTTTATATTTAAAACAAAATTTGGTCTGCTTTGTAGTTTTACCAAAGCGTTTGTTTCTAATTTGAAAACAAATATAATTCAGTTTTCACCTACACAAGTAAATCTATTGATCCTCGGCATTGGAATGTATTTTAATTGACAAATCGATGCATTGTTACATTACTCAAAGTAAGCAAAGAGATGTCAGTTAATAATGAAAGATGCGGCCTTCGAGGACTTACTTTACATGTCGACAAACTTATTTTTTGCTGGCAGCGGGAGAACGACGAGAAGAACAGCGCCCTGAAGGAGCAGCTCAAGTACTGGCAGAGGCTGCGGCAGGACCTGGAGCGCGCGCGTCTGCTCATCGAGCTCATCCGCAAGCGAGAGAAACTCAAGCGGGAACAGGTGTGGATCTCAGCGGGGACGTGTGCTCGCAGACGCACTTGGTTGCGCGAGTAGTGGTTTCTGCTGGCTTGACTGATGGGGATGTGTGTTTTAACCCCCCTCCCCTGGTTGGGTTTAGGAAGCTCAAATTTTGTTGACTGAGTGGCATGTTTGCCATGCTCAGGGATTCATTTCTTGAAAACAAAGTTCATGTCACTGGTATGTTGAAGTAGACAAGTAACTTGTTGCTAGAGCCATCGCGATGAGAGTTATACTGGATATGGTGTGCCCAGGGCTGAATATTTTCTGGCTCACTTGTACACTGGAATAGGCATGTTACTTGTAGTCATAGCAATACGTGTAATGGATGTGGTATGCTGGCTGTGGAAATATTTTCAGGGACACGGACCAGGCTGAAATTAAGTTTTGTCCTTGCTTTGTTTATGAATTGGGAGTTAGTTATTTATTGCATTTATATGTTGTGTGCATTATTAGCCATAGTGCCCATATGTTTACACTCCTCGCCCATTGACTTGGCTGCACATAACACATGCATTGATGCATTGTACCCGGTTTATGCTTCTCGTACACCGCAGAGGTGTTAACCTGGGCCGTCGGTGCATTGCTTTTGCTGCTGCCACAGATCAAGGTGCAGCAGGCGGTGCTGGAGATGCAGCTGACGCCTTTCCTGGTCCTGCTGCGGAGGTCACTTGAACAGCTGCAGGAGAGGGACACGAACAACATCTTTGCTGAGCCCGTGTCCATAGAGGAGGTGAGCTTCAGTTCTTGTATGAGCCTCGTCACCACGCTTTGCATTTTAGTACTCAATTACTGTCGTAATGGAGCTTGTGAACTAAGTGGTGTCTTCATTTAATAGATTTAACCGTGATTGGTTAAAATAATTACTTGTTTATCCAGGAAAGCTACACTGAAGTCCAATGATTCTTTCAGGAGGGTCCTGCATTGGGTTTTTATTTTATTTTGAGATGTTTCCAGCCAATTTCTGAGTGTTTATACTTGCGGAAACCGGAGCACACAGAGAAAACCAACGTACGTGAGGGTACAATACTACCCCGTGCAGATGGAAACAGATGGAGATTGGTCCATTTGCTTAACTGCCTTCTAACATGCCTAGGGTATGGTACCTCTATGGCCATGGGAAGGAAGTTTCCAAACATTTGTGTGATCCACCAACCTTTGCCTCCGCGGTGCTGGATTAAAGGCGTGCGCCACCAGCAGGCTAAAATATTGTTGTGAAAGTAAATTTTCTCTTTGGTTCTTTCGGTAAAGTCACGTAGAAAGAAAATAAATTAAACAATAGAATACGACGTTTCGATTGCAACACAAGCAGTCGTCATCAGGTAGAACTAAATTTGAGAGAGAGACAAAACACAGACACGGAGACACACAGACAGACACAAGCAGAGAGAGACACACAGCATATACACTCTGTGTGTGTCTCTCTCTGTGTATCTCTGTGTTGTTTCTCTCTGTTTGTGCCTGTCTGTGTGTCTCCGTGTCTGTGTTTTGTCTCTCTCTCAAATTTAGTTCTACCTTATGACGACTGCTTGTGTTGCAAGCGAAACGTCGTATTCTATTGTTTAATTTATCTTCTTTCTACGTGACTTCACCGAAAGAACCAAAGAGTAATTCCTGCAGTCCCGAAAGCTTCAAATCAAAGTAAATTTTGCTTAGAGTTAAGTGAAAATTAATTAATCCCACGGACAATTAAACTGTCCCAGGATGTTTTGTAGACAGATTTTGCTTATAATACCAATAACAGGAAACCCTGGTCCGGAATGTGCCTGCTTTGACGTGCTGCTAGAAAATATTGGTTTGTAAAGCCCATAAGAAGATGGAGATAAATGTTTTTGGTGATTAAATTGACCCTTTAATTTAGAGTTTCATCAGGTTTGAGTTGGACAAAGCCCTGCAGTTACCGTTAAGGGTGCTTCCCCTTCCATTTGGGTTGCAGGGTGGCAGTGCTGTGGTAACATTTGTGCCTCGTAGCATGAAGCCACCTGGGTTATATTCCTGAAGAGGGTGGCTTTCGGTGTGGAGTTTTTATGTTCTCCCCCTGTTCTGCATGAGTTTCCTCCGGGTTCTGTAGTTTCCTCCCATCGTTAAAGGCACGTCATTTCATTGTTGACCAAACATCCCAATGTAGTATAACCCTTATGAAAAATATTCTTCTGATTCTTCGTGGCTTTCCTAGGTAAAAAAATTATAATATTTTATCCACTTTCTATTGGGTCATTCATCTCAAAATTCTGTAAACTTTGTAACATGCCCAGTTTCTACACGGAGGCACAGGCGGCGGGCAGAAATGGCGCCAAACAATTTCCCAAGCTCTGTGGTTTCATATTGGGATGTCTGGCCAACTGGATTAATGAATGTGGAAGAAAACTGGAGTACCTGGAGAAAACCCACAGGAAAAACTAAGTAATCATCATCATTGTGTTTTTATTTTAGGTTCCGGATTACCTGGACTACATCAAGAAGCCCATGGACTTTTCGGGCATGCGGGCACGCCTGGAGGCGCATGGCTACTGCACACTGGACGATTTTGAGAACGACTTCGACCTGATCGTGGCGAACTGCATGCAGTACAACAGCAAGGACACCATCTTCTACAAGGCGGCCGTGCGGCTACGTGACCAGGGTGGTGCCATCCTGCGGCAGGCCCGGCGGCAGGCCGAGAAGATTGGCTTCGACTACGCCACTGGCATGCATCTACCCACGGCACCGCTGCTCATCGAGCCGCCCGTGCTCAAGTGGGAGGAAGGTGCGATTCCGGCCATAGCAGTCGTTTTGAACACTTTCCAATGAAGGTTAACAGCCTTGAAAGCATTAGCTCCATCGCTCTGTAGCGGGGGAAGTCATTTCTTTAGAATATCTTTTTGTGTTTAGTTTGTCCTTCCCCCGCGCACCTCCGATAGCACGGTTGGTTTACGTGCCGTGCGAAAGAAGTTCAACATACAGGGGAGTCGCGATAACTCCTGTAAAGGTGATCCAATATAAATTGCATTTTTGCGTAAAAATTTGTCCCTATAACGGTCATATTGATCAAAGAGTTACCCCAAACCTGGTCACCCTTTGATCAGAGAGTAATATGATCACTCTTGCAGGTAGCATGGTTACACACGACAGTTGCCTTTCTTTAACCAGGTGGAAACTCAAAAGAGAAAATGATAAGTGTTGTTTGCAATGAAGCTATCCTCATTTTCAATTAGACTAGGTCAACAAAATGATAAGAAAAACTAATGAAATAAACTACGGCAATGATGCAAATATAAATCGGAACCAAATGTTGCACAAATGTAAATCATGCTTAAATTATCAATTTCCTGAAGTGTAAGTTGGCTCGGACAGAATTTTGTTTAGACTTATCAGAGTACAATTATAGATTGAGCTACACAACTATTCAACCATTAAGTAGCCCCTGTACACACAGATACAGTACGTGCATGTATAGTTATTTCCAAATCCACTTCTGGATTAGGGTCATCCCATGCAGTACGGTTTACGGTGGCTTGTTTGACCATACTTCACGCTGGTTGGTGCGGGTTGATGAAGGCCGCGGTGTGAATGGAGTGTGGATGTTGTCGCTTCCTTTAGGGGTGGAGGCACACGTAGGTGCGCCTTTTTTTTACGCGCGCTCGTACTCGTGTGTCGCTAGAGCTGGCTAGATTTGTCGGTCAAGTCGATTCACCACCGAAATAAAAGTTGTAATCGACTACTTTTTTGTGATCGATTACTTTTAAAAATGGTGGCGGCCCCCATATCCTGCCTCCCTAAGGCGGGAAACCCCCTAGGAGCCACTCCCTGCGTGACGCGGCTGATAATGCTGGTGACTTGGCCAAGCCTCGCCCATCACCTCCCGTCCAGCGGTACATGCCGGAACAGGTGAGGCTTATTTATCAGCTGTGTTCAAGCTATCCAATTCATTCAACGGGACTGATAGTCGGTGGAGTAATTGATTACATAAATGGATTACCCAGCTCTGTGTGCCACTGTGCACTGGTGTACGGAAGTGCGAATGCGTTACAACGTGTGTGGCCGCATACACGAGAATCGCTGCGTGCGCATGCGTTGCAACGTGCGTGGGCGCCACTGCGTGGGTACGTTGCTGCGTGTGACCACGTGTGCGTGCACCACAGCGTGCGCTACAGCGTGTTGCGTGCGCCCATGTGACCGCGTGTGCAGTGGACAACCTGCTGCTGGCGGAGAACCGGGTGCACATGTCGCTGGAGGAGCAGCTGCGGGAGCTGCTCGAAAAGCTGGACTTGACGACGAGCATGCGCCTGGGCGGTGCACGCTCGCGCCGCGCCAAACTCCTGCGCAAGGAGATAAACGTGGTGCGGCGAAAGATGTCGACACACCACGAGGGCACAAGGCGGGGCAGCAGCGGTAGCGGCGGTGGGGCCCAGCAAAGGAGCAACGGGGAGCTGTGTAGCCCGGTGACGAGGACACGCGCAAACGGCGTTGGCGAGGAGGCGGCCAGCACCGCTGCCGCCACCACGCCGCCGGCCATTGGCGCTGACGGCAACAAAGGTGGGTCAAGTGCTGGGCACCAGCAACTGGGCATGTAACGATTTGCCTCGCGAAGCTATTCAGTCCTTGAAAAAGAGCTTCTTAGCTCAATGGGCTTTACTCAGGAAATAAATTTTTGATTCAAGTTATGGGTTGGGCGTCATGGTTCAATTCTATAGTTGCTGATGTGTTTGTATTGTGTTGAATGTGGAACCTGCTTTGGATTGCAGGAGTCACATTAAAGTATTTTTCACCATTCGATGCATGGATCCTGAGTGTATGTTCATTGTAATGTATGGATGTAGTGCTTTATAGCAACTCACACGACACATCCAGAAGGACATTAACATTATACGTGGTAAACATTAATGAATAGTAGTGGGTTGCTGTAAGTTGTGCTGAGAATGTGAAGGCCCAGTCAAATCGATTGTACATCTATTAATCAGTAAAAGGTGGAAAAAACAAGGTCTTCAGTCTGGAATTGAAAAAGACTGATGGCAGGGGGAAGGGAGTTGGGGGGCAGCATTATAGAATTTCCCAACTCCCACTGAGCAAAGGTTGATCGGTGCTTTGGTAGAAAGCTTTGGTTGATGAAACGGAGAGCGTGTGGAGTGGATTAGAGTGCCACAGATTTAGTGTTTTGAAAGTGTTTGGTCTGGCCTTGGTGTAGGCAGCTGTGTATGTATGTATGTATGCTGAACTTCCTTCGCACCCTATGTAACCAACCATGATAATCTGAGGTGCGGGAGAAGGACAACAAACTTAAACTCGGCTACGGTACGCGACTGGAAGCTTGATCCTGTGCGTCTTCGCTTGCGGCGCGCACCTTCCCCGCAGACTCGGCGACTTCGCAGTCCTCGCCCGTGTCGGACGTCGGCCGGCGCACCTCAGTGCTCTTCACTCGCAAGTGCCGAGGGGGCACGCGGCGAGGCCCCGGCCGTGCAAGCCGGCACGCGGACCCCGACACGTGCGCGGACGGCGCCGAAGGCGGGCAGGGAGCGGGAGACGCCGCCGCCAACGCCGCCTCCAATGCCGTTTCCCCCGCCGCCAACTCGAGAAAGCGCGCGCGCAGCTCCAGCGCATGCTCGGACACGGACGCCGGCGCCACGAGCACACACATGCACAATGGTACGCGGCCGGGCATGGCGGCGACATCTCAACGAGTACATGGCACACGCCGCACCCATCACGACTCTGTGTCCGCGTACTCAATCTTTAGACTGAAGTCAGCGTCTGTACAGAGCTACTGATTTTTTTTGGGGCAGTCTTGCAGAGCTGCCTAGGGATGCAGTCGTGCTTGGGCGTGCGGGTCGCGTGTTAATGGCTCTGCAGGCGGGGAGCCGCCGCCACTGTTATTTTTTTGAAGGCCACGGCAGGAGAGCTGACTAGTCATGCCGTGTCTTGCCACCCCGTGGTTAAGGAACCGTGCAGTGTTGCCGGCCGTCCAGATGATGCCACACTCTCGCACAGGCGCAGGCAGGCCCACGTGCACCACGGTAAATCGCGCACTCGTCTTCAGTACAAGCGTTCACGCGAAATAATATATACTCTACCCACAACACCCGTTTCTAGTTACAGCTGTGTCATTAGAGAAAGGATTGAGAAAGCATGCTGGGACTTTCATCAAGGCACTCACTCACTTGCACAACCTGGGCTGAACCTGGTGGTAGTGGTGGTGGTGGTATTATCCTGTTTATCCCTAATGGTTGGATGTTGCTATTGTAGGAACGGAGCTCCACCCACATGTGGAGATCCGAGGAAGTGGTAACGTTGCCTCAACTGGGGTTGTCCCGTCCACAGGGCTGAGCAATGGCTATGAAAATGGCTCGGATGGCGAGGAGCCGCGCTCTAATCACAGCGAAATGCATCGTCTCTCCTGCGGCTCCGACTCCGACTCTGGCTCAAGCTTCAACAGCAGCGACCACAGCAGGTGAGGGCTTAAAGTGTTTCAATCGCCATGGTCACTGCTAGCAGTACAGTGCATTGTTCTCCAGGCTGCAGTCATTTAACTTAATTGTACTTGCACCAATGTGAATATTATGTAGTTGTGAGTGACGTGTGTAGACGCGTACGTTAATGGTGATCGAGTTGAGCATTGTAGGTTGCTCCGGGATAGCACTGCTTGTTGTGTGGCATCCACAAGGCGCAGGCATGTGCACGCGCACACACGCGCGCCATTACTCGAGCCATAGCTAAGTGTGTGTGCGTGTCTGCACAGCGGCTCTGAGAAAAAGAACGGACAGGGAAAGCGGGGACACGGTCCGGACGATGGCACGATAGAAAACGGAGACCTGCCCGCGTTCTCGGACCCAGAGGCGCAGTGTGGACGGGGAAAGAAAGGGCTTGGGAAATCCACAGGTACATGTGCCATGCGCATCGAGCAACAGAGCAACTTTGGATGTGATTCTTTTGACGTTTCCGTGTGAGCATTGCATAGGTTGTCTCTGATAATATAATTCACTTTTGGTTGAATAGTTTGCCATTGTATTAGTATACAAGATTGCGCAATGATTTTTTAATTGGTTCGTAGAAAAACTGACATTTTTTTCATGAAAGATGGTCATACATTGTCAAGTTTGATCACCATCAATCGCTCTTTAAAGTTTGAAAGTTTAAACCATTTTGAGAATTGTACAGGAGGACATTCTACCCTCTGCTCATTTGAGCTGGGAAAGATTGCATTATATTTTGCAGATTGCCACTGGTGAATTTAGTTGTGTGAAAATGCCACCTGTCATTCATAGACCCTTTAAGCGTTAATGGTGTAGGTTGTTTGGTTCTGTAGTAATGTAAACAATCCTCGAAATTGGACTTTGCACCCGTCTTCGCGCCTCCCTTTATCACAGCTAACCTGAAGGGACCCAACCGGCCGAACATCTGGTTCTCCGAAGACGTTGACACGCCAATGGAACCGCTCGACCTGGTTTGGGCAAAGTGTCGGGGCTACCCATCCTACCCCGCACTGGTGAGGGACAGCTTCATGGCAATACAACACACCGCCAGCACTGGCTATCTCAAAAGACACTTCATTGCAGTGTAGGCAGGGTGGTGCAGTGGTAACACTTGTGTCTCACTGCATGCAAGGCCTGAGCTCCGACTCGGATGCCTTTGTGTGGAGTTTGTACGTTCTCCCTTTGTTCTGCATAGGTTTCCAGCCGGTTTCCTGGTTTCCTGCCATATCCAGAAGTCGCAATGCTGAGATGTTACCTGCAAATTACTCAATTGGGATTGCACATAGCAACGTTGCCTACTGCAGTGAAAAACCTGACAGGACCCTCATAACAAAAATCTTGACTCTAAAACGAAACTATAAACTCTTTTTATTTTACCAGATAAGGCCCACGGAGCTCTTTTTCAGAAGTGACCTGGCCACAAATGATAGTTCAGCGAAGTAGCTTATCATGTGGAAATATATACCGGCACCCAAATACTCTAAACACATGTTTCTGAATGTGGAGGGAATAACTCGAGGACTTGGAGAAAAATCCACACAATCATGGGGAGATACAGTGAGGGAAAAAAAGTATTTGATCCCCTGCTGATTTTGTATATTTGCCCACTGATAAAGAAATGATCAGTCTATAATTTTAATGGTAGGTTTATTTGAACAGTGAGAGAATAACAACAAAAACATCCGGAAAAACGCATGTCAAAAATGTTATAAATTGATTTGCATTTTAATGAGGGAAATAAGTATTTGACCCCCTCTCAATCAGAAAGATTTCTTGTTACCTGTATAAAAGACACCTGTCCACAGAAGCAATCATTCAGATTCCAAACTCTTCACCATGGCCAAGACCAAATAGCTCTCCAAGGATGTCAGGGACAAGATTGTAGACTGACACAAGGCTGGAATGGGCTACAAGACCATTGCCAAGCAGCTTGGTGAGAAGATTCCAACAGTTGGTGCGATTATTCGCAAATGGAAGAAACACAAAAGAACTGTCAATCTCCCTCGGCCTGGGGCTCCATGCAAGATCTCACCTCGTGGAGTTGCAATGATCATGAGAACGGTGAAGAATCAGCCCAGAACTACACGGGAGGATCTTGTCAATGATCTCAAGGCAGCTGGGACCATAGTCACCAAGAAAACAATTGGTAACACACTACGCCGTGAAGGACTGAAATCTTGCAGCGCCCGCAAGGTCCCCCTGCTCAAGAAAGCACATACATGCCCGTCTGAAGTTTGCCAATGAACATCTGAATGATTCAGAGGACAACTGGGTGAAAGTGTTGTGGTCAGATGAGACCAAAATGGAGCTCTTTGGCATCAACTCAACTCGCCGTGTTTGGAGGAGGAGGAATGCTGCCTATGACCCCAAGAACACCATCCCCACCGTCAAACATGGAGGTGGAAACATGCTTTGGGGGTGTTTTTCTGCTAAGGGAACAGGACAACTTCACCGCATCAAAGGGACGATGGACGGGGCCATGTACCTTCAAATCTTGGGTGAGAACCTCCTTCCCTCAGCCAGGGCATTGAAAATGGGTCGTGGATGTGTATTCCAGCATGACAATGACCCAAAACACACGGCCAAGGCAACAAAGGAGTGTCTCAAGAAGAAGCACATTAAGGTCCTGGAGTGGCCTAGCCAGTCTCCAGACCTTAATCCCATAGAAAATCTGTGGAGTTAGCTGAAGGTTCAAGTTGCCAAACGTCAGCCTCGAAACCTTAATGACTTGGAGAAGATCTGCAGAGAGGAGTGGGACAAAATCCCTCCTGAGATGTGTGCAAACCTTGTGGCCAACTACAAGAAACGTCTGACCTCTGTGATTGCCAACAAGGGTTTTGCCACCAAGTACTAAGTCATGTTTTGCAGAGGGGTCAAATACTTATTTCTCTCATTAAAATGCAAATCAATTTATAACATTTTTGACATGCATTATTCTGGATTTTTTTGTTGTTATTCTGTCTCTCACTGTTTAAATAAACCTACCATTAAAATATTAGGATGATCATTTCTTTGTCAGTGGGCAAACGTACAAAATCAGCAGGGGATCAAATACTTTTTTCCCTCACTGTACATGCAAACTCTAAACATACAGGTCTCAGGGTCGGGATCGAATCCACGACCTCCTGTATACCAGGCGAGGTAGTTCGCATTTCCTGGGTAAACACATAATCATAACTGTCAAAACTACACATGGAAGGTGTAGCTATCTTTTACATAAATGGGGAACGAAGGAGGCGCAGCTTAAATATGACTGCGGTGAAGAGCAACCCATCACAACATCGTTTTGTATATGCAAGTCTGGGTATCTTTGCGAGTCATACGTTTCTCTGCGAGTCTTAATTTTGACTGCCGTGAAATGTAATCAATCGCACGCATCGCCGATGAATTTGTATCCGTCTGGACACCAGACGCAGTAGAATGGCTTGTCGGCACCTAACACACACAAGTTATAAATACATCCATCGTTTTTCAAATTCCTTGTTAACCGCCCCTCGACTTTCTTGCTCGTTGTAGATAATTGACCCGAAGATCCCTCGGGAAGGCTTCTACCACAACAGTGTGCCGATCCCGCTGCCGCCGATGGACGTGCTGACACTGGGCGAGGCGATGGCGGCCGAGGCTGGGGAGAGTCTCTTCCTGGTGCTGTTTTTTGACAACAAGCGCACCTGGTGAGTTCCCGTGATTGCACGCGCGCTAGTCCCATTGCCGATGTGCCCACTTCTTTGAGTCCAGAGCTTGCGCATGTACAGCACTTTGTAAGCCGAATGGTGGATGAGGAATGTGTAGGTCGTGAGATATAATTGACCACTTCCATCACGCTGGTCAGTGCGGGTTGGTGAAGATGAGTAACAAAAACATTAGCAAGGTGCAGCGTGTACAACATTCTTAGGCACATGTCATAACGGGTACTGCAAGATCTCACCATGTGTGTCCAGTGCTCACCGAGCTACATTGGCTTCCGGTTGCTGAACGAACACATTCTAAGGTTCTGCTCATGACACAAAGTTCTTGCCCAAATGAACCAACATGCCTTTCTGATCTCGTCAAGGAGCACGAACCATCTTGCAAACGAACCATCGCACAAAGACGGTCACGGCATCGCGCGCTTTGAGATGCGCTTGAGTGGCTATCTGGAATGCTCTGCCTTTCGATATTAGGAAGACACTGGAAGCTAAGCACTTGTAAATCTAAATTTAAAACTCATTTATTTAGAACTGCTTTTTGTGTTCATCTGTCCTTCCCAATTAGGATGGTTGGCTATGTACGGTGCGAAATAAGTTCAACATACATATGAGTGTAGGTACAACGCATCAATGGATTATGTTGGTTCGCCCTCCGGTCATGGGTTCTTGCTTGGTCATATAAATAGAGGGCTGTCTAGGACACGTGGGTGGACTCACCTGCTCTGGGATATTTATGCATGTATACATTACGAGGACAGGGAATTCGAGTGCTGTGTGGCAAGCCCCAATTGCGTGTGACCACGCATGTTTACGTGCATCGACGATGTGTCGGCGTTGAGCCGTGTGGAGCGCACGTACTCAACAGCCCCGTGTGTGCGTCGGCGTTGGCAGGCAGTGGCTCCCACGCTCCAAGCTGATGCCGCTGGGCATCGAGGAGAGCCTGGACAAGCTGAAGATGATGGAGGGCCGCAAGTCCAACATCCGCAAGTCCGTGCAGATCGCCTACGACCGTGCCATGACCCACCGGAGCCGAGTGCAGGGAGAGAACAGTGACTCGAGCGACGTAGAGTGAGCGAGCGCCTTCCTGCCCTCCCCGACCCTGCGTATTTCCCCGCCTTACCTCAATCACTGATGAAAGTGAGCTCTGGCCGCGGCGCCACAGACTTCTGCTCCAGTAGTAGGGGAGGCTGCTCGGTGTGTGGTGGCCTGACTGTGCCGGGGCCCCCACCGCTCCCTGGGTCCCACGCGGCAGCATCTCCCGACTGCCGCCGCCACCCTCTGCCCGCCTCGCCTGATTTTAATGGACTTCAGCCAGTGAAGCCTGCGGGAGCGCAGATGTGTTGTGCCGTCACGGCAACACCACTTGTACTTGTTGCTGTACAAAGGTGTTTTAAATTCCCGCTTTTACGCGCTCTTTGTTTTCCAAGTGGCGACGCTGTAAAGATGCCTTCTTATGGATGGACTTTGGTTTTACAGAGTGTGTATATTATTCTTCACAGCCCTCTTAAACAGAAGGCGGCGCCCGCGTTATATCTGTGGTATCCGAACTATTCACTTGAACTGTTTTTTGACACATTGTCTAATGAAAAGTGATGTGACTTTTGTTAAATGTGCATGATCTGGTAAACTGTATTTTTATACCTGCATTATTTTTTACTGTCACCATCTGGCTGTACTCTGTTCTGGTCTTTTATTTTGTGAAGTACTGGGGACCTAAAGTAGAAATGTTAAATGTACTGTTCTGGCAGTCTGTACTTTATATTTATTGTAGAAACGAGTGCTTTGATTGATAGTAATTTTTATAAGGTGCTTGACTAGTCGGAAAGTGGTTTATGGAAATATCTCTATATTTGTTTCATGTTTTATTTCATCACAGTTCAGACTGTCAGTTTTGTTTCAAACCAATAAATGTGATGAAATCGTTTAATTTCGTACAGATGTGTGGTTTGCTCTCCAGCTCATCTCCTGATATCTACACTTTTGTCAGTGAGATGAATATAAAGTGACTACTGTGCTATTAGTTTTTTATGTGTAGATAAGTGAACGACAGTTCGATAAAATTAAGCAATAACATAGCCGAGATGTTTCTAGTTTGCATTTTTTGTGGGAAGATGAATAATATAAGATAAATATTAAAAATAAGCCTTTTGGTCAGAGGTCCCTGAGAGTTTTGCCCAGTGTTTCCAAGGATGGTAGGCTGACGCAAAGAAAAATCATCACATGGTTGTCAAGTATCGTTTTAAGAATAACATGTTTAAACTTTTAAGGATTATGTAATAATAAAGTGCCATACATTAAAAGGAGCTCGCCGATTTCATAAAACACCCGTTCATTGTGGCATTTTCTCCTAGTTTTCTTATCCAAAGCATTCGTAATTGAGGGCAAAATATTTGAAGTGTGTAATCAGATACGACAAGAATGGGGATTAAGCTGGGATGTAGTCAATCGATGGGTCATAGCAAAAGCCAATACCACCTTTGGTCACAAAACTTGACCCATACCGATGTATTCATATGGCCAATAAAAGTGATGTATTTGATAATCCAGCCGAAATTAGGGGGGTTCTCTCAATTAACTGTTCTGAACCACATTTAAGAAATTGGAACCGCTCGAGTTATGCCACCGCATGTCGTAGCGATGAGTGAAACAGCGTGCGAGCTCGTGGATTAAGTGTCGGGGTTTGGGTATTTGGGAATCTGGTTATTGTTATGAATTGTAGAAATGGTTTTCGTAATGGTATTGTGAGTGCCCTAGCAGTTTAAGGTCGGGGTAGTGGAGGTGCGAGTGTTAAGGTTCGTGCTATTCATAAAGTTATGGTTCGTGTTAGAGCGTCGTGTTTTATGGATGGAGGTGTAGGCAGGATTCGTGTTGTGGATAGTTACTTTTAAGGGTGGTATTAGTATAAGTTGTATTGTTCAGGGTATAGTGGTTAATGTGACTGGTGTGTGGATATTGTAAAATCAGTGATATGGGTATGGCTAGATGGTAGGCCTACCATTGATGTTTAATATGGTTTAGGTTGGTGTTAGAGATCGTGTTAGCGCAGTCGGGAGTGTTATGGGTAGGGATATTGTTGCGTTCAGTTTAATGTTTAATTGGTAAGAGTAACATTGCTGTTGAGTTATGGGTAGGGGGTAGTTTCATGGGTTAGCTGGGTAGACTTAACGTGCGCGTGACAAGTAGTGCTATAGGTAGTGTTGGTGTGAGAGCTGTGCTTAGTTTTATTGGAAGTCAATGTTAGAAGCATCGTTGGTGTTGGGGGGTGTGGGGTGGGTGTCTGAATGAGTAATGTGGCCGACGTGTTAGGCGGACGGCGCTGCGCTAATCACCGCGCCACCGCTCTCCACGACCCAATCTCAAATCTCCCGCGCGCGTGCGTGACGTCACCGCGCGAGCCACGCCCTCGCCACCACGCGGTGGGGGCTGGGCGGGGTCAAAGGTTTCGCTTCCGGCCACGGGGAGGGGGGGACAGCAGCAGCGCGAGGAGCGGATCGGGCTGAGCCACAGCTACGGGAGGCGCGACGCGGTAGAGACGAGATAAGACGACGAGGAGGAGCAGGAGGGAGAGACGAGGTGGAGTGACTGAGAGGAGATTCCGCCGACGAGGAGGAGGAGGGAGGCGGCGGCGGGATGTACCGCGCGCTGTACGACTTTCGCTCGGCCGAGGCGAACTCGCTCGCGTTCGCGGCGGGCGAGGCGTTCGTGATCCTGGAACGCAGCAACCAGTACTGGTGGCTGGCGAGCAAGAGCAGCGGCGACGTGGGATACGTGCCCGTCACCTACATCCGCAGGGACGAGGTGAGGCGATGGCGAGCGGGACGGGAGATACGCCGAGGGCGAGGTTGGTGGTGGTTGTGGTGGGTGGTGGTGGGCGAAGGTGGTAGTGGTGGGCGAAGGTGGTAGTGGTGGGCGAAGGTGGTAGTGGTGGGCGAAGGTGGTAGTGGTGGGCGAAGGTGGTAGTGGTGGGTGAAGGTGGTGGTGGGTGAAGGTGGTGGGTGAAGGTGGTGGTGGGTGAAGGTGGTGGGTGAAGGTGGTGGGTGAAGGTGGTGGTGGGTGAAGGTGGTGGTGGGTGAAGGTGGTGGTGGTGGTGGTGGGTGAAGGTGGTGGTGGTGGGTGAAGGTGGTGGTGGTGGTGGGTGAAGGTGGTGGTGGGTGAAGGTGGTGGTGGTGGTGGGTGAAGGTGGTGGTGGTGGGTGAAGGTGGTGGTGGTGGTGGGTGAAGGTGGTGGTGGTGGTGGGTGAAGGTGGTGGTGGTGGTGGGTGAAGGTGGTGGTGGGTGAAGTTTGTGGTGGTGGTGGTGGGTGAAGGTGGTGGTGGGTGAAGGTGGTGGTGGTGGTGGGTGAAGGTGGTGGTGGTGGTGGGTGAAGGTGGTGGTGGTGGGTGAAGGTGGTGGTGGTGGTGGGTGAAGGTGGTGGTGGTGGTGGGTGAAGGTGGTGGTGGTGGTGGTGGTGGGTGAAGGTGGTGGTGGTGGTGGGTGAAGGTGGTGGTGGTGGTGGGTGAAGGTGGTGGTGGAAGGTGGTGGTGGTGGTGGGTGAAGGTGGTGGAGGAGAACCAGGTGGGTGCGGTGTTGGGATCAGGTGGATGAGGAGGCGGTGAGGGATGGTGAGGTGAGGGAACGATACGGGTGGATGTAGGGGGGTATGCTGGACTCGGTGAGGGATAACAAGGTGACGAGGTGGAGGACGAGGTGGGTGAGATGTTCTGCATGAGAAACACGCTGTAAATAAATAATAATGATTGTGGTTATGATGTGGTAATTGTGATGGCAAAGTAGATGGAAGAGGATGAGTTTGCGGAGGTTGGTGGGGATGAAGTGCATTAGGAGGTGGTTTAGAGGTGAATGAGGTGGACGAGGAGGTGGACGTCGTTATAGCGAAGGAGGATGAGGAGGCGATGAGCGAGGCAGAGCGGAGGCGGTGGATGAATGGGCAATGCGGTGGTGCAGGAAGGAAGCTGACAGGGCCGCGTGATGTTGACGCCCGCTGAGCCGTGTTTACAAAGCCACTCGGGCCGAGAGACGAGCGGGGCGATGAGGTGAGCACTCGTGCTCTACAACCTTCCTCTACCACCTCATTTAGCGCCTCTCCCACATTCACTGCTACCGCCTTATTCGCCTCCACAACATCATCCTCCTTCCAATAGATCCTCGCCCGCCTCATCTACAACCTGATCCCCTTCCTCTTCAACGTCACCTACCTCCTCATCCATCTCGATAACCTCGTCCGCGTCATCCGACACCTCGACAACGTCCTCCTCTGCAACATCATCATCCACTGCCTCTTCTGCCGCGTTCACCACCTTGTACACCTCGTCTGCAACCTCATTGTCCACTTCATCCACCATCAACCATTCACCACCTCGACCTTTTTGGTCCACCTACTCCACCACCTCGTCAACCTCGTCAACCTCATCAGACACCTTTTCCTCCATTGCCGGGCCTATGTATTTCCCCTGCCCTTGCCCAGACCTTGCCCTTGCTAAAAAAAAAAGCTGACCCAGACCTAGAGTCCAGACCCTGCCCAAGACCATTTCCTGCCGAGCTCTCGCTGTTGCCTCCTGTCTGGCCGAAGAAGCCACCACGGGCAATGTAATGTGACATGTGACATGCGACAGTCGAACCGCCCTTGACACATCTGCATCTGAGCTCCCAAGAGTGGACTAATAGGGTGGTCCGGTGTCTCAGCAGGGGCCACATAGGGGGGTGTGATCAGGGTCCGGGTGTGCAAGGGGTCCAGGAGTAGTGAATTGGGGGATTGAGGGGGCATCTCCCTCCACCCACTGGGTTTGGTCACGTTCTAACCAGTCACAGGGGTCCTCAGCGGGGGGACCCTTATTCCTCAGGGGTCCTGAGGGAGGTCCCCTCCTCCCAGGGAGTCTGTTAAGCCTGCACTATCCCTTCTTCGTTTCACCAGCTGTACCTAACGACTGGGGTAGAGGATAGGGCACGGCTTACAGTCTCCATGGCAAGGTAATAACTGCGCCCTGTGTGCGTTGTAATTATAACCGTCGCGCTTACATGCCAGGCGTTTAAATGCCTCGCAGCTGCGTGCCTTGCAAGCGTATTAAGCTTTGAGATGACAGGCGGTGGTGATGCCACCACTCTCCGCCTGAAATATCCCCTGGAAAAAGCGTTCGGCGCTTGATGTGAATAATCCGGCGATCGATGCTTGGCCGGTGCTTGACGTGATACGTAATCCTCTGCGCCATGAAGAGACAGGCCCCACGCTACCTCAGCCACTCTTGCTCCGACGGTGTCCGTGGGTAGCAATTCCCTATAGTTAGGATCTGCTTGCCTCGTTGAGTCTCAAGACCCTCATGGCAGGAGGTTCCTGCCATGGCGGCTTTTTAACCGGACAGGAGGCGTGGGCGAGAGCTCAGGAAGGGCATGCTGTTGGGCATGGGCAGGGTCTGGACTAACAGAAGGGCTCTTCTCGAGGGAAATTAAACAAACATTTGCGATGCTGCGTTGGCGGTAGTGCACAAGCACACACAATGTGCATTTCGCACTTTTGTCAATACCACTGCTGTACATAAAACAAATATAATAGGTGGCTTTTTGGGCAATGACCGTTCTTCTTGAGTGAATAATGGTTGGAGATGGCGCCATCGCATAATATTTCTAGCCGCAGTCGGTCATGTAAACAATTTCACAGTAAAGATATCATTGCCCATGTCGGCGTTGCACTCAAGGGCTTGAGTCACATCTCAGCAGACGTAGCAATATCTGAAATCGCTGCAACCCTCAAAAACGCTAAGATGCCATCTAGCAACATCAGCAAAGATGAACGCTTTGAATTATCTCAATTAAAAAGAGAGATGATATTGTCGTCCTCTCAGCCGACAAGGGCAATGCCACTGTCATCATGGACAAAACAGAATATAACAACAAAATTCAAGAACTACTCAACGATGGCAGCTATACAAAAATAAAAAGAGATCCCACCAACAGCCTGGTTACCAAAACGAACAAAATCATCTCTGATTCAACAGCATTAATTGATCAGACCAAACAGTTCTCGTTGAAACCCTCTGCTGCCAGACCACCAAGATTATATGGCCTTCCAAAGATACACAAAGAAGATACACCTCTTTGTCCCATCGTCTCTACTATCAACTCCCCCACCTATAAACTGGCACGTTTTCTGGCTGATATACTGCGACCTTTCACTGGAAAAACCACCTCTGCGGTACTAAATTCTATTCACCTGGTATCGACAATCAAAGGCATTTCCCTGTCCCCAGACGACCTGCTTGTCAGTTTTGATGTGGTGTCCTTATTCACCAAAGTTCTGGTACCTGACACCACCGCAATAATTGAAGACTTGGTTCATCAAGGACTGCATACTGATGTACCCCCCCTGGTGAGACATTGCTTAACCAACACATACTTCACCTGGAATGGAACTTTCAACAAACAGACTGAGGGCACCCCAATGGGCTCCCCCCTGTCTCCGTTTGTAGCCAGCGTATTCATGAAAAATTTGAAACTGACGCCATCTAGACTGCCACTCTACGCTCGACCTTATGGAAGAGGTACGTGGATGACACTTTTGTCATCTGGCCACATGGCCAGCCTGCATCTAGACCAATTTCTCGACCACATCAATTCCATACACCCAGCCATCAGATTTACCATGGAGGTCGAAAAAGATGGCAAACTACCCTTTTTGGATGTCTTAATTAAAAGGAGACCTGATGGTTCAATGAGCCACTCTGTCTACAGAAAAGCTACCCATACAGATGCTTACTTGAAACCGGATCTCCACCACCATTCATCCCAGAAGGACTCCCTCATCAAGACTCTATACCATAGAGCCCAATGCATTTCCGACCAGGAACACATTGCCAGTGAACTCAAGCACGTACACCAGGCTCTCAGGGCTAATGGTTACTCCGACTACACAATCCGCAAAGCCATCACTCCAGTCATGAAGAAGGATCCCCTTGAGGAGCCACTCAAAACCATCACCTTACCCTATATTGCAGAGGTCACTAAAAAGATCTCCAAAATCCTGAATAAACACAAGATCCAGGTCCAATTCAACACAGTACATAAAATCCGTGATCTGGTTCCATCTGTAAAAGATGCTGTTCCAGACATACAGTACCCGGGCGTTTACAAACTAAAGTGCCTCTGTGGTAGCAACTACATTGGAGAAACCAAACGACATATCTCGGACCGCATCCGCGAACATAAAGCAGACTTGAAACACGGTAGGACGAACTCTTCTGCCGTGGCAGATCACTGTTATAATTCAGTGGGTTCACATGACATCGACTTCTCCAAGACGGAGGTTCTTTGCAAGCCAACCGGCTACCAAGAGAGATTCGTTCATGAGGCCATCCACATATACAAGCACAGAGACAATTTCAACCGAGAAGATGGATTCTGGCTTAGTAACCATTGGAAAGATGTTTTAAACCATTTCGGTTCTTAATTAATTGTATTTTACGGTGACCGTCAGACCGCAGCTCTTTCGCTGGCATTACCTCTTAATACCTCTCACACCACGGTTTATAACATGGAGTATAACAGCGCATTGTGGCTGTTTCTCTCCTCCCTCCTCCGTTCCGAGCATGGATTGACTCGTCCGTCTGAACGGTGCTCGTTCGCTGTCCGTGGTGCTGGCGTTGAGGGGAAGAAAACCGCCATTTTTTGCCATATGGCATTGTGATATATAACGACTTATTGTTGTGTTGCTCAGCTGTTTGGAGAGTATATAGAGTTTATTGATAACATTGTGGTGGTATATATTTTAGTTTTTTATTGGTTTACTATATGGTTTTCATTGTATAGTGT